CTCCCAGAGGAGAGAAAGGTGAGAAAGGTGCTTTTGCATTGTAGTTCCCATGATCAAGTGGGACAAAATGGCTTGTTGGTGGGCAGAAGAGATTCAGGCTGCCAGGAAGCATTTCCATGTGAGAAGAATCTTTCTGCCACATACATCAACCAAGTGAATCCATCCCTTTAGTAGAAGGAAAAATCTGATTTTTCCTTGCACAAAATGTAAAGTCTTGGAGGGAGTCAGTGCTGGAATGTCCCAGGGTGTCCGTGTGTGGATTTTACTAACCTGCAAGGCCAGACTGTGAAGATGGGATCCCTGCACCCAAGAAGTGCCCTCTTGCTCTGGGGCCTTCCATGGACTGGCAGCACAAGTGAGAACCCTTCCTTGGCCTTCAGCAAGGCCCCAGTTTGGGCAAAGCCTGAATTCCCTATGAAAGCAGGTCAGATTTACACTGGCCTGAAGGATGAGAGAGGACAGACAAGCTCAACAAGGTGCTGATGCAATACAGCTTGGGCTACAGCTTTCTGCCCTTGTGTCTCTGGAGCATTGGAAAGGATGCCTATGTGGCTTGGGGTGACTTTCACCAGCTCTCCTATTAACACCACTGGGCTCCCCAAGGCTCTTGGGTCTCAGCACACACAACAGCAGAAAGAAAACCCTCGCCTGCCTTCGTAGACTGCTCAGACAAGCAAGGACAAGGAGTGTGCAGAGAAGAGACCATCAGGACTGCACAGCAGCTTCTCTCAGCCACAAATCATAGCAAATTCAAACATAAATGCTTGGGTTTGGGGATTGTGCAGTGCTTTGTTTGCAGCTTTTTCCCCCACTGGAAGACCTGTGGCATTTGCACGGTCCACTCTCCCTGCTGCCTAGATCAGTCTCAAAATGTGCCTTTGCCCTCTCTTTCCTCTGTTACCATGTGTCATTTGAGGGGGTTGATGGGAAACCCCTTTCTCTTCTTTCACCTTGTGCTCAGGAGCTGGGAGAGCCGCAGAGCTCAGCTGCCAGCACCGGTGCAATCCTGTGTGGAAGCCTCATCCGTAGGGCTTGGTCAGCTCACAGCTGTCAGATCTGGGCTGTGACATACCTCACATTCATTCTGCCATCAAGTCTGAGGGCAAAACCTGACACTAACAAGCCCACCTTGCAACCATATCCCCAAGTGCCACATCCACACATTTTTTGATACCTTCAGGCATGGCAATTCCACCAAGTCCATGGGCCTGTACCAGTGCTTGACAAGCCTTTCAGTGGAGAAATTTTTCCCTAATACCCAATCTAAACCAGTCCTGGAATGACTTGAGGAATGACTTGCTCTTGTCCTGTTCCTTGTGGCCTGGGAGCAGAGCCTAGCCCGCCCTAGCTCCTCCACCCTCCTGTCAGGGAGTTGCAGAGAGTGAGAAAGTGCCCCCTGAGCCTCCTCTTCCCCAATCTCAGCCCCTCCAGCTCCCTSRGCTGCTCCTCMACAGACTTTTTCTCCAGGTCCTTCCCCTGCTCCCTTCCCTTCTCTGTGCTCAGGCTTTGCTGCCCCTATTGTTGTGAACTGTTGCAGCATTCCACGCTCTGTGTAACTCCTGCGTTGCAATGGAGTAAGAGATGAACTTTTCTTTGCAATGACYTAACTTGTAGTCTGATTGCTAGCTCTGCTTGTTTTCTTGCACCTTGCATTACTCTTACAAGAGGAAGGATCACTGCAGAAAAGCCGCTGCTAGAGCGGAGTAGAGAAATTCAGCAAGCACTTTGTTGGCAATTCCCATCATTTATTCATCAGTAGCTGTGATTTGTGCTAGGCAAATGCTTGGAAATAGTTGTTCTTCTCTTCCCCTGCTCAGTGTGTTTTAACAAAACTAGAAACCAACTAGAGACAAGGGAAGATTGATGTTCTGGAGAGCGCAAGCACGTCTGCAGCCATTCACTTCTCCAGGACCAGAGTGGAATACATAAACCTCTGGCTCCAGCTAGAGGCCATTCAGGGCTCRGTTTCTAACTGAACAGAGCTCTCCTTAGAAAGTATCACTCTGCTCTSTTAAGGTGCGTGGTGCAACAGGCCCCATATCCCAGAGGGAACGAGAAGAGCAGAGAACAGAGAAATTGCATGCTTCACGGGAAGTGGCTGAACATCACTCATCAATGGGAAGTAGCGACTAAATGTTTTTTCTTCTTTACTTACTTACAAACTCTCAGGTTTTTGCCTTTAGTCAACAGCTTTGTCATCTCMACTTACTACTTGTTTTCCATCTTATTTTCTCTCCCCTGTCCCACTAGGGAGGGGATTGATAAAGTGGCTTAGTGAGCACCTGGCATTCAACCAAGGTCAAGTCACTACACCCGCCTTAAAAAAGGGTAGAAAGGAGCACTCTGGAAACGACTGACACATTCAGCTTCACCTCTGTGCCTGGGAAGATCACAGAACACATCCTCCTTGAAGCTACACTAAGGCACATGGAGAACAGGGTGGTGATTCAGGACAGCCAAGGGTGAGTCCTATCCTGGCTTACACAGTGGCTTTCTGTGATGGAGCAAGTAGATGAAGGGGCAAGGGAAGGGCTACAGGTGTCGTTTATCTGGACATCTRTAAAGGCTTTGACATGGTCCCCACAACATCCTCTCTAAAGTGGAGAGAGGGAGAGATTTGATGCCTGAACTGCTGGATGGATAAGAAATTGCATGCAGGGTCGCATCCAGAGGTCAACAACAGAGTAACGATGGACGAGGGTGACCCCTCAGAGGTTCATCCTGGGAAAATTGTTTCTTAATATGTTCATTAATGCCATAGACAAAAGGATAGAGGGTACCCTCAGCAGATTTGCTGATATCACCAAGAGGAGTGGTACACATGCCACACTTGAAGGATGGGACTTCACCCAGAGAGATGTGGACARGCTCGAGAAGCAGCCCCATGGCAATCTCACGTGGTTTAACAAGACCAGTACAAGATGCCTCACCTTTGTCAGGACAAGCCCCGGGATCCATCAGGCAGGGTTTGGCCCACGGGCCCAGAGAGGGTGGGGGCTCCTGCCTGACCCGCGTGGTGTTTGCCTGGGGACCCTCCCCCAAGGTGGCCGGGCTGTGACTGCAACTTTGTGTCTCCCTCTGGCTGTGCCGGGCACTCCTGACGCTGCTGCTGTGCTTCCAGAGCCGTGTCCCTCGGCAGAGCCCTGTCCCTCGGCAGAGCCCTGTCCCTCGGCAGAGCCCTTCCCTCCGCAGAGCCCTTCCCTCCGCAGCCGCAGCGCCATGAAATGCTCCCTGATGGGGCCGGGCCTGGCTCCAGAGCACGATCCGCGCTCTGCATTTCCCCCGCCGGCCGTGCCGGGGCAGCTGCTTCAGCCGTGAGGGATGAGAGCTGCGAGAGCCCCCGGCTCTGCCAGCAGAGCTCCCTGCTCCATCTGGCACAGCCTCAGCGCCCGCCCTGTGCCCTCCCGCCCCGAGGGCKGTGCCGGSCCCTGCTCGCTGCCCTGATGGAGGCACTCGTGGCTCTCCAAGGCCTTCTCTGGGGCACCTTCGTGCACCCTTTCATTCCCTGCGCCACCAGAGCCCTGCTCAGGGGCTGTTGTAAGGGACTAAAGGGACAGCACCAGGGCCAGAGGCTTCCCACTGACAGAGGGCGGGCTTAGGCTGCAGCTGTGGAAGAAATTGTGGGCTCGAGACAGGCTGAGGCCCTGGCCCCGCTGCCCACAGGAGCCGTGGCTGCCCCATCCCTGGCAGTGTTCCAGGCCACGCTGGATGGGGCTCGGAGCAGCCTGGCCTGGCCCAAGGTGTCCCTGCCCTTGGCAGCAGGGTTAGAACAATTTTATGGCTCCTTCCAAACCAAGCTGTTCTGTGATTCTGTGATCACAGGGGCAGCTGGGCTTRATTTCTGATTAGAACCAGTTCAGCTCTGAAGGTTTGGTTGAGTTCAATGAGACTGTTCATGAGCCCACATTCACAGCTCGTGAGTTTTACCAATATTCTAGATCTGGCTGTGATCAAAAAAACCATGCACCATCCAGATTCTGCAATCTTGCATTTTATTGAAGCAAGAGAAAAGCAGTTTCAGGCTTGCTGCTCATAAATGCACTAACTATGGAACATTACTACATGTCCCAACAGTGATACTATACATGGCTTTACTTGTATATGGGAATAATACTATATATGATATATATTGTATTTATCTATGCATATTGCATCTATTTTATGAAATTCTTTCCAGACATAAATGCACTCAGAGTGTCACTATGCATCATAACAGAAAGTGAAAACACTTAATATGTGCCATATTTTTATTGTTTAATCATAAACACATACTCAAATATTTATTTTGCTAAAATACTTTCGTATTTCTTACTTTAGATATTATTTATTTTAATTTATGGTTTTATTGTATTGTATTTGAATGTAATATATGAAAATTAATAAACTATATAATATATAGTATGCATACTTTCTATATATACTCACTCATAGAATAAAAATGTATATACTTATTTATACAAAATTTCCAGTCAGCTCCAACACAGTTAGTACAATGCTGACCTAAAGGTGTCCCTTCGTGGGACAAGGAGACACAGTCCATTGTCTGATGCCGGGGGAAAGCAGAACTAGTTTTTCCCCTTGATCTTTCTTTCCCTGTTTTTTGTCTTTTTCTGTCTCACTTCCCCACTTCCTTTATGCTGTAATTTTTGACCCTTCCCAAAGGCTGGAACTATTGCATGTTACACATGGGGTTTGGTGACTTTGGCCAGGCATGGAAGGCATGTGCTTTTTTCATTTGCATTCTTAGGAGTGGGAAAGTTCACGTGCAGGTATGACTGAGGGTGGATCGGGGTGCCTTGTTTGGGAAAATGAAATGGTAAAAGGAGGTACAATAAACCCTCCTGTGGCCCTCCAGCTGCTGAGGCAGCAGAAGCCGCTGTGGGACCAGGGCCAGACTCTTGGCAAATATCCTCTTCTTTAAAGACCAGATTGATACTATGAGCTGGTTCTGTGCTGCCAGCTGTGAGCATCACAAGCACAGCTGTGTGCACGAGAACCTTTCAATGGTCTGGGTCAAGGATTTCTAGGAGCATACGATTCACTGCCTGGTACTCTCTTATCGCCTGGGAGAGGGCATCAGGATCCATCATCAGGCGATGGAAGAGATTAATCCTCCTAGCCATTCTGACATCTTGGGGCAAACGGATCTCCGCTGGAAGCCTTCGGCTGCCCACAATAAAGTGTTTGAGGCATTTTTGTGCCACGCATAAGCGCAGGCACTCATTGATATCCAGTACTCGCCTCAGGAAATGTCTCTTTTGCCACTGTGACACTGGTAAAATGGTAAGGAGGTGCATGACAATGGTCTTCATGGTATAGGTAGAAAAGCCTAGACCCAGCTGAAGGCGGGTGAAGAACTGCAGGCATCTGAGGTGCCAACTGTCAGGGGGGGCCTGCCTGGCAATGTGCCTGAAGAACTTCATCTCTGCCACAGCAAARSTCTCAGTCCACATTGTGCTTGGGGTGASAATYGGACTAGACTGGCTGSTCACAAACACATCTGAGTCGCCTCGCCGCACCCCRAACAGCATCTCAATCTGGTAGCTTTGTGTACCGTTGGTCACCTTGAATTTGCAGGAGCGTGTGGAGGGCAGCAGCAATAAATGCCAATTGTGTGACTGAGGCAGAGCTGGCCAGATTGCTCTCACCAGTTGGTAAAACCAGCGGGTTGTTTTCTGGACATCGAGGTAGGAGCCGGTGCACAGGGTGTGAAGGAGACTGGGATCCTGMTTCMTCCTCAGCGCCTCTGCATGTTGGTGGAGGAAGCACAGCATGTTCCCACCTTGCTGCAGCTCTGTCAGACAGGTGCACTGCAGTTCCACAAGCACATGGAAGGTCCTGTTGGGCATCTCCCTTGCGGTGTCCACCTCCAGGGTGAAGGTGTGTGCACGAGGAGGAGTCAGGGGTACGAGCACGCGGTACTCAGCTTCCTTGACAAAGGCAGTCCAACCTTCGAAGGCACTGCCCACACCAATGGCTCGTTGGGGCATCGGGTAGAAACTACCTGACAAGACGTGTCTACAGAATTTGGTGAACTTGGCCATCAGGTGAGTTGTCCACTCGCAGCCTGATTGAAGGTCCTGTAGAGGCCACTCTATGCGCTCCACTAGCATCCTTCCTATGTTATCGTCAACATCATGCTCTAACTCATTTCGAGCATCATCTTCTTCATTGGCATTCAAATTTCCAAATGCATTTGCAAAATAGTTTTCTTCTCCATGCTCCACTCTCCTGTTTCCTGAGATAAACCATAGGACCAAGACAAGTAGCAAGAGCCAAGCAAGAGCCCAGACCTGCCCAAGCTGCAGGGCAGACCAGNGGTACGAGAACACGGTACACAACATCCTCCTCACGGGGACTCCAACCTTCAAAGGCACTGCCCACACCAATGGCTCGGTGCAGCACGGGATAGAAACTACCGGACAAGACGTGTCCACAGAATATGGTGAACTTGGCCATCAGGTGAGTTGTCCACTCGCAGCCTAATTGAAGGTCCTGTAGAGGCCACTCTATGCGCTCCACTAGCATCCTTCCTATGTTATCATCAACAACATGGTCGAACTCATTTCCAGCATCATCTTCTTCATTTGCATCCACATTTCTGAATGGATTTGCACCATGGTTTTCTTCTCTATGCTCCRCTCTCCTGTTCCCTGAGATAAACCATAGGACCAAGACAAGTAGCAAGAGCCAAGCAAGAGCCCAGACCTGTCCTAGCTGCAGGGCAGACCAGAGCAGGTCTCCCCAAGATGCCCCACTCTGCCTCAGGATCAGCTGCTCCACCTCCCGCTCCAGACGAATCTTCTCCAGTTCCTGCAGCTTCACATGTTCCTCCATGCGCAGAAGCTCCTTGTGATCCAAACCATCGCCCACGGGCTGCGGGTATGGGATGAGGATTTTCAAGAGCCTCCAGAACAGGATCACAAAGGGTACCATGGTCTGCAGGAGGATGGAGAGAAGGCCTTGAGGGGGCTGGCAGGGAGGCAGCTGGCAGTGGGGGCAGCAAGGATGGGAATCACAGGGTTCTGGGGGCAGGCAGGAAAGGGCCCCAGACAGCTGCCAGGAAGCGAGACCTGTCCTGCTACCCCAGCAGCAGCATAACTATGCCCTGCTCAAGGATCACCCATGAGGGGCTGTCCCTGCATGCAGGGGGAGAACCCAGCCCCAGGCAAAGCGTTTCTGCCCCAGCCCTTGCCCAGCCCAACGTCCCCGCCACAAGCGCACTCACCGCTTACTGGGGCTCTGCAGGGGCAGCGTTGCCTGTTGGGGACTTATACAGCTGCTTCCATTGTGACACATCCCCCACGATGTCACAGATGCCACAGCACATCACAGCCAGGCCAACCACATCAAGGCCAAGCCCTTCACTGGCTCAACCACTCACAGTGGCTCTGGAGTGCTGGTAAAGGTTGCCTTGGAGTGATTCTTCATTCAAAAACTTCTTTTGATCCTTCTTTTGTCTTTGTTATCATCTGCCCCCCATTGTTAATCTCACAGATACCCATGTCCCAAGGCACCCTTGAGCATCATTGAGTTCATGCCTTGACTCATCACTGGATGAGCTGCACTTACATCTCTGAATGCTCAAGGTTGGAGAAAACCCTGATGATCACATGGTCCATCCACAAACCTGACACTGCCTACTCCACCCATCAGCCAGGTCCCCAAATGCCAAATCTGCACGACTTTTACATCTTTCTGAGGGTGCTGACTCAAATGTTTCCTTGGGCAGCCTGTTCTCAAGCTTGAGAACCTTGTTGGTGAAGGAATATTTCCTAGAGATTCAATCTAAAACTCCCATGGAACAACTGGAAGTCATTTCCTGTGGTCATGTTGGCGGTTTCCTGGGAGAAAGCACAGATCTTTGATGGCCACTATRTCACAGATCTATGATGGCCACTTTTCTTTTCCTGCAATGACTTTGAGCTCCTGCACTTTGCTCTCCACACTGCATGAAGTGGCTGCATGAAGGAAGCGCTTCAATCAAATTCTTGATCTCACTACCTTTTTTGACAGGGAATCAAGGAATAATAGAAATGTGCCTTTACAACAGACGGTGTGAATCTGGTGTTGATAGGACCAGGCGTTTTTAGCTAGGGAAATAACGGAAGAAGTTTTCAGTACTAGAAATTGTTAGCAATTGACATGGACTGTTGCTCAGCGAAGGCCCTGTTAAATCTCTGAACTTAGAGAAAAAATAACAGAATTATGACTAATGTTTGGTTATATGCAAGAAAGAGAGGGTGCATATTCGAGGGGGCCATAGAAAGACAACCTAGGAAGTCTGCCCTTTCCATGTAACTCAGCCAATGACGGAAAGAAGAATGTGATGCACCTGGGAAATTAGGATAAAAAGGACATTGCAGCATCCAACATTGGAGAGACTCCACTGGAAGTGCCCCATGGCCTCTTCCCTTTTTCCCAATAAAAGTGCAGAACTCCTCTGTGTCTTTTTGGGATATAAACCTCTGGTGTGAATTTTTTTCCTCACAGCGAGATGCCGTAATCCTTCTGTGCCTGCTCTTAAGCTCTTCTCTGGTTACTCACACATGGAGAAGCCCTGTGTCCTTGCTGTTGCACGTGTCCTGGATCTGCCCCGGCTCTGCCAGCAGAGCTCCCTGCTCCATCTGGCACAGCCTCAGCGCCCGCCCTGTGCCCTCCCGCCCCGAGGGCTGTGCCGGGCCCTGCTCGCTGCCCTGATGGAGGCACTCGTGGCTCTCCAAGGCCTTCTCTGGGGCACCTTCGTGCACCCTTTCATTCCCTGCGCCACAAGAGCCCTGCTCAGGGGCTGTTGTAAGGGACTAAAGGGACAGMACCAGGGCCAGAGGCTTCCCACTGACAGAGGCAGGCTTAGGCTGCAGCTGTGGAAGAAATTGTGGGCTCGGAGGCTGCTGAGGCTCTGGCCCCGCTGCCCACAGGAGCTGTGGCTGCCCCATCCCTGGCAGTGTTCCAGGCCACGCTGGATGGGGCTCGGAGCAGCCTGGCCTGGCCCAAGGTGTCTCTGCCCTTGGCAGCAGGGTTGGGACAAGAGCATTTTATGGACCTTTCCAAACCAAGCCGTTCTGTGATTCTGTGATTCTGTGATTCTGTGATCACAGGGACAGCTGGGCTTGATTTCTGATTAGAACCAGTTCAGCACTGCAAGTTTGGTTGAGTTCAATGAGACTGTTGATGAGCCCTCATTCACAGCTCGTGAGATTTACCAATACTAGAGGTCTGGTTTAGATTAAAAAATCTTGTACGATGCAGGGTGTACAATACTGCATTTTATTGAAGCATAATCAAAGGAGTTTCAGGCTTGCCAATCTTAAATGCACTAACTATGGGCATTAATATGTGTGACAACAGACAGTGACAACGCTAAAGATGTGCTTTATTGATATTCTTTAATAATATTGGATCATTGAAATATTTATATTTATTATTTATCATGACATAATACTATATTTTCTTTGTATATTTATTTTAGTCTCTTGGTTTATTTTGACATATTTTATTATTATTATATATGATAATTTATAAGCCAAAATATATATAATATTTATACAGTAAAAATCTAGAAACTAAAAATCTAGAAATAAAAAATCTAGATACTTATATATACAGAATTTCAGGTCAGCTCCAACACAATTGGTACGATGCTGWCCTGGAGGTGTCCCTTCCCAGTACAAGGAGAAACACAGTCCATGGTCTGATCAGGGGCAAGCAGAACTAGATTTTCCTCTCAGTCTTTTTTTCCCTGTTTTTTTGTTTTTTTCTCAGAAACAATATGGGGATATGAGGCCTCGGAATCATTCCGGACATCATTCTGTACTTAGGCCTTGCTGGAGCCAGGGGCAGGATAGTGAGAGGCACAGCCCATGTTTTTCTCAAACAGCCCCATCAATTCTTTGCTGACTAAAAGCAACTCTGCTGCACATCTGACAATAAGCACAGTGACAGAGTACTGGAACACATTGCCCAGRGGYTGTGGARTCTCCCTCATCAGAGATAGTCAAGAATCACCTAAACATAATCCTATGCAATGTGCAACAGGGAGACGCTGCTGGAGCACCCATCGACTAGATGATCCCAATGGGATCACCATCAAACCTTAACTCTTCTGGTATTCTGAGTTGGGCATCTTTGCATAAGCTAAACCTCTGAGAGGGAAAATGGACTCTGAGAAAGACATGGGGGCAGTCACAGTCCTGGTGGTAATGGGACTCTCTCTCACAAGACCCTTGGCCACAGCATCTTCGGCTACATCAGGTTTGACACCCTGAGTGTGCTTTTGCTCTAGAGGAAAGGTGGGGCAGCAATTGAAGAGTGACATCTCCATGTCTGGCATGCTCAGGTCAGGATCAGCTTCTCCCCAGGGAGTGGATTCTCCATACTGATCCCAGAGAACATAAAAAGGAATACTGTTATTTCCTCTTGCATGGTCCCTGATCTTTGTAGCCACTGGATGCAGTGCTGGGGAGACTGTCGACATGACACTGCTGCTGCTGATGGCAGAGTGCTGCTGCACAGCGTTTTCCCTTCCCTCTCTGTATCCCACATTCTCCCATCTTTTCCCTGTACCATGATCTGGTTCTCTGCCACCAGCTGTGAGCATCAYAAGCACAGCTGCGTGCACAAGAACCTCTTTCAAAGGTCTGGGTTAAGGATTCTTGTAAACCGCTGCTGCAGAACATGGTATTCACTTATCGCCTGGGAGCGGGCACTTGGATCCGTCACCTGGTGATGGAAGAGGTTGTGTGTCGCAGCCATTCTGATATCTGGGGGCAAACGGATCTCCTSTGGAAGCCTCGGGTTACCCACAATAAAATGATTGAGGCGTTTGTGTGCCACGCATAAGCGCAGGCACTCTCTGATATCCAGSAGTCGCCTCACGAAATCTCTCCTGCGCCACTGTGACACCGGTAAAGTGTTCAGGAGGTGCATGACAATGGTCTTCATGGTATAGGTAGAAAAGCATAGACCCAGCTGAAGGCGGGTGAAGAACTGCAGGCATTTGAGGTGCAAACTGTCAGGGGGGGCCTGACTGTCAATGTACCTGAAGAACTTAATCTCTGCCACAGCAAAAGTCTCAGGCCAGGCTGTTCTTAGAGTGAGGGGTTCTCTTGACTCACTGCTTACAAAGACATCTGAGTCACCTCTCTGTACCCCAAACAGCATCTCAATCTGGAAGCTTTCTGTGCTGTTGGTCACTTTGAATTTGCAGGAACGTGTGGARGGCAGCAGCAATAAATGCCAATTGTGTGATTGAGGCAGAGCTGGCCAGATTGCTCTCACCAGCTGGTAGAACCAGCGGGYTGTTTTCTGGACATCGAGGTAGGAGCCGGTGCACAGGGTKTGAAGGAGRCTGGGATCCTGCTTCCTCCTCAGCTCCTCCTCAGGGTGGTGRAGGAAGCACAGCATGTTCCCMCGTTGCTGTGGCTCCCTCGGGCAGGTGCACTGCAGTCCCACATGGACACAGAAGATCCTGTTGGGCATCTGCCTTGCAGTGGCCAGCTCCAGGGTGAAGGTGTGCCCGCGRGGAGGAGTCAGGGGTACGAGAACACGGTACACAACATCCTCCTCACGGGGACTCCAACCTTCAAAGGCACTGCCCACACCAATGGCTCGGTGCAGCACRGGATAGAARCTACCCGTCAAGACGTGTCCAAAGAAAATTGTGAAATTGTCCATCAGGTCAGTTATCCACTCAGAGCCTCTCTGAAGGTCCTGTACAGGCCATTCTATGCGCTCCATTAGATTCCTTCCAATGTTATCATCAACATCATGGTTTGCTAGTTCGACTTCATTTGCATTATTATTGTTTTCTGCATTTGCAGCCTCATTGACGACTTCATTTCCAACATTGTTTTCTTCATTTGCTGCAACATTGTTGACTTCCTGTACATTGCCAGCTTCCTGTACATTGCCAGCTTCCTGTACATTGCCAACTTCCTGTACATTGCCATCACGATTCTGGTCTTCCTCCACATTTGCATCATTGTCTTGCTCTTCATTTCCAACCTCTTCATTTGCATCCCTATTTCTGACTTCCTCTTCATTTGCACCATCGTTTTGTTCTTCATGCTCCACTCTCCTCAGCCTCCTTTTCCTCCAAATAAACCATAGGACCAAGAGAAGGACCAGGAGCCAAGCAACAGCCCAGATCTGCCTGTCCTGCAATGCAGACCAGAGCAGGTCTCCCCAAGATGCACCACTCTGCYTCAKGATCAGCTGCTCCACCTCCCGCTCCAGACAAATCCCCTCCCATTCCAGGTGCTTCGCATGCTTCTCCATACGCAGATGCATCTCCTCATCCAAATCATTGCCCACAGGCTGTGGGTACAGGATGAAGCTTTTCAAGAGCCTCCAGAACAGGTATATTAAGTAAAACATGGTCTGTAGGAGGATGGAGAGAAGGCCTTGAGTGGGGCTGGCAGAGAAAGAGCTGTTGGTTGCTGAAGGGGGACAGGATCCTCAGGGATCTGGGGACAGGAAGGAAAGGACCCAGACAGCTGGCAGGAAGCAAGGGCGAAGCGTTTCTGCCCCAGCCCTTGCCCAGCCCAGCCTTCCCACCACGAGTGCACTCACCGCTCACTGAGGTTCTGCAGGGACAGCGTTTCCTGCTGGGGCCTTTTTTAGCTGTCCCCATTGTGACATGTCCCCCGCGATGTCACAGATGCCACAGCACATCACAGGCAGGCCAGCCCCACCCTTTGTCCCCACCCTGTCTCAGCCACTCAGTGTAGCTTGACTACCAGGCCAGGTACCCACAAAGTGCTGAGCTGCAGGTAGATGAAGGATTACAGGCATGGCTTCTGTGAGACATTTCTAGAAGGGTTATAGMTGCAGCTTAAGTAACTCATCTGCTGACACAATTCGCAGTGGAGTGGAAGATACGGCTGTGGTGGTTCTGAGTGTGCAGTACCACTAAAGGGTCTCAGTACTTTCAGTATTGTTTAGGAGGAGTATCCACCTATCCTTGACTCCCTGGGGAGCAGGTGACACTGGCCTGAGCATGATGGACATGAAGAAGATACTGCTTTATCAGCATCCAGAATTGTTGCCACACCTTTCTTCAACAGCAAAAACTCACTCTGGGAGTCAGATCCAAAGCTGAAGACGCTATGGCAAGGAGCCTGGAACTAGAGACTGGTGTTACCATGTGGACACTGAATGCCCTCCCTTTCTGAGAGAGTCCAATCCCTTTGGGAGCTTCACCCTGTGCAAAGATGCCAAAAGTGGCATCTTGAGCAAATGCTTCCTCTGTTGAGTGTCTGTCTCACATTGGTGGGGAATGCAGGCATCTGCTTGTGGTCAGTTGACCTTGGCTGGACAGAGGGAGAAAATAAAGACCAAAGGCTTGTGGGTTGAGACAAAAACAGAGAGATTGCTCAGGTTCATCTCGGGGAAACATATTTAATTTGCTACCAATCAAATCAGAGTGGGATAATGAAAAATAAAACCAAACTTTAAAATAACTTTACACACCTCTCCTTTCTTCTTTGGCTCAGCTGATAACCATTGCCAATGCCAATGAGCCAGAACTCACACAGCACTTGGGTAGTTCTCCATGCTGGGTTGACTGGCACAGCAGCCCTTACCTCGTGAACACCAGACCTCTCACCTCAGGCAGCTGCCAAAGGCAAGTGACCAGCTTCAGGATTTTCTTCAYTCAAGGATATCGGCCCATTTCCTTGACAGGTGATAGCTATCCGCAGGGATTTGGCTTTGCAGACCTGAAATAACAARCTAGGAAGTATGAGGATCCCTGCTGAAAACAGCTTTAGTCTAAGTGTTTAATAATCTGGCATAAGATCACAGCATAAAAACCAAAATGGCCCACGTTTGAAGACTGAATGTTCTGACCAGTTATAATGAATAGATATTTATAGGAGAACTGTAAGAAAGTGTCAAAAATACAGATCATTTCACGGTTTTAGCTCTAAGCACAACAGGAAGTACARCCACAATCACATGGCAAATCATTCCCATGGAAACTGATAATATTTTCCATTAAACTGGAATTTATTTTAGGCTATAATCTGCTTGAGGATGCAGATTGCATAATGATGCAGCAAGATAGCWAATGCCATATGTACAAAAAGGAGATGGCTGAACTGTGGGTATGACTGGAGTGTGGAGGAAGAAAAGCAGGACTCAGAGTAAGGGAACCCTGTGCCATCATGTCATGTCCCAGGCAGGAAATGCTCCCTGTGCTCCTTTACCACTGGGTCTCACTACCTGGGCTTCCCTGCAATGGACAGGGTAAATAATGCAGGTGGAAGAAGCCAGCATGGCTGCTCCTTCCCTGGTCCCTTAATTGCACCATGAATCTCTCCTAGCTCAGAAACAAAAAATATTAATTAACTGCCTTAGCAAACACGCTGCCTCCATGTCTGCCAAGCCCACCCAAGCTTCCCTTCCACCCTCCATGGCCCAGGATCCACCTCTAGCCCAAAGCAGGGCTGTCAGCCCTTGTTCCAGTGGCACTGCAGGTTGCCCATTCCAGCTTCCCCCAGCCCTTCCCAGCTTGGCCATGAGTCCCAGCAAGTCAAGCCCATCAGCAGACCAACATCCCTGCCAGGCTGAGCTGCAGAGTGACCTCCCAACTTGAATGCATCCTATCTCGTCACCATGAACATGCTCCATGAACACCCTGAAGGGTGTTCTAGCTGAGCCTGCTGAGAGTCTTCAGATCTGAGAAAAACAAAGGTCACCAGTCTTCCTTGCAATCAAAGGCTTCTGGAGATGCAGGTTCAAATAGAAAACCAGCTCTCTTGGAGAGGGGCTTAGAGGGAAACCCAACTTTGTATATAAATACATATTGGAGGAGACAGCATGAGAAAGATGAGGCTTCTTGGCATGTTACCCACCCAATCAAACCACTGCAACTGCCATCAATATCAAAATTCTCATGATCTTCCATGAGTTTCATTTTTTTCCATCCATTTTCCCCTCAGATGAATCCACTTGTATTATCTTCRTGTTCGTTTTGAATGATGAAGACTTGCTGCATTTGTACATGTAAAGGGCTTTTTCTTATTTCACAGGGCTGGGAGACTGTGAGACACAAAAGGATGGTGTCATAGGTGCCTTTATTTTATAGAAATAATTTAAGTCTGAGGAATAAGCACACCTTTGACGTGTAACTTCAAAAGAAGTTAMGGGAAATACGACACATCCTGTTTCTACAAACCCTTTTCCAGTAACCCTAAGGAAAATCTTCAAACATGTAAGGGTTTTGGAAGCTGCTTACCTTCATTCATAGCCTTCCTGTTTTCCTCTAAGGTCAAACAGATTTATATGTGAAAGGACAACCTGCACTTGACAGAGTGAAGCCATGTGCTGCTTCTTGTTTACAYCAGTTCTGAAAAGCTAATCCCAGAGTCTCTGCCTTTTCTTGGTATTTTTAAACTCAAGAAAAACACAAAGGCTTGAAGAGCAGAATAGGTGGTACATTTTAAATGCCTCTTCAAAGGGTGATTTGCTTCGGTGTTTTCTCATTATTAAAGTAGGGCATCTGCTGAAATAAAAAAAAAAAACTGTGCAAAAAGCAACTGAAAATGCTGAAAAATCTGAAGTCAAGTAAGTTAATGAGTGCTAACAATGTCCATGATGCAGCCAAGCTCAGACCTGTCTGCTGTCTGTTCTAAAATCAATGTCTTTATTTAAGGACTTCCCTCTTCCACCCTACAAAKTCTCCTTGAAGCTGATGGGAACAAGCTTTGACAATTACATTAATGATTTCTCAATGCATGAGAACCATCATTCTGAAATCAGCAGAGGCTACACTGCTGTAGGTAAGAGAATCACAGTCACTTAGGTTGGAAAAGACCCTTAAGATCATYGARTCCAACCMTTAAACCAGCACTGCCARGCCCACCACTAACCTGTGTCCCTAAGCACCATGTCTGATGACCTTACARGTMTTTYCCAACCTAAACAATTCTATGATTTTATRATTCCMCAGATCCAGKGGGCACAGCCACATTTTCATCCATCTAACTGTGCACCGCTGTAATCTATTTTCTTGGATATACTGCAAAGGAATTGTTGTCCAGAAGAACCTGTTCAGGCTTGGCRCATGTGCAGCCCACARCYATTTCCCTCTGTGTCTGAGGTTTTKCTCTGAGCTGTTGAAGCTCTGCAGTGCTGCTTGAACACAGTGGACAAGTGAAGCCCAAAAGAACAGACCAGCTGCATTTCCCTGAGGCTGCCCCTGAACACAGGGCAAAAAGGGGCTCCTGGGATCAGAGGTTTGCCTTAAAGTCCAGTTCTTGGACTCAGCAGGAGACATGGGGGCACAAAATGGTTTTCCAAGCAAACTCCCCYGTGCACCCCTTAGAGACTATCCTCACCTGTCCCCAAAGCCTTTTGAGCAGGAGATGGCCACCTGCCAGCTCCTCAAATCCTGACCCACTTTTCCTGAGAACTCAGCAAGGGACAGTTTCACAGACAAGAGGAAATCCCTAAACAGCATGCAGCCCAGAGAGTGGAAAGTTTTTTTCTCGTGGGGGTTGGGTTTGTTGTGGTGTTGGTGGTTTTTTTTTCACCCCAACTTCCCAATGAATGCATTTGGCAGCCTACTGTCCCTGCCAGTGCAGGATCCCAGCGGAAATCAGAGCTGGGAGGGCTCTTCCTGCCCGAGGGAGGCTTCCCAGGAGTGAGAGGGATTTACAGTCTCCACCTTTCACTCCCTGTCCCCTGTTGTGCTGCACTGAAGGCCATGTGCAGTGGCAAGCTGCAGACAGCTTTGCTGGTGGCCAGCTACTTTGTCTACCTGCTGGTGGGGGCTGCTGTGTTCCAGGCACTGGAGAGGACTGCAGAGAAGCAGGAGAAAATGGCAGCTGCCCAGATGAAAGAGGCTTTTCTGCAGAACTTCACGCAGCTCACGGTGGCAGAGATGGAGCAGTTCATGAAGGTAAGTGGAGCGCAGCAAAGTCCTTTGTCCCTCCTGTTTCCCCATCAGATGTTCTTTCCTACACAGGTAACTCACTGCTTTCCTTCTGATTGTGGTCATTTGGATGTTTCTGGCAAACTCCTCTCTAGTCCAAGCAGGCAGCTCACTCTGATGGTAAAATCAGCTTGTGTAGCTGGACAAAACCTTGTGTGTGTTAGCTGTTAAAAACCCCCACAATATCCTGTTTTTTTGGGGTTCTGCCTCCTGTTGATATCACTTTCAGTGCGGCTGTGCTTATACACAATGGGTAGCATGACAAGAAAAATGAGTCTGTCTGAAATGAATAGGAGTGGCTGCCACTTAAAATAGCATCTCTGACAGCATACAGGAACAATAAGGAAAGGGCTGGATGGAAAAAAAATAAAAAAAAGAGGTCCAACTAATTTCAAGGAGGGTGGCATGATCAGTGTTTAGTTTTTGAGGATGCTGCAGAAGTGAAACAAATGGCCTGGCCAGGGGGAAATGTTTCTGGCCATGGCACAGGAAGATAAAGATGAATATGGCTGTATCTTCAACCTGGGAATTTCATAGCTCCATCTGCTGCAATGCAGAAGAAAATGRGGAGTGCAAGCCCTGCTGGAAGCATTTCTACATGGGAAACTAAAGGGAGCTCTTAATGGGTCAGTTCACAGAAAGAGGCAATATGGGGAAGAGCTGGTGTTTCTAATAACACAGCCAGCAATTCAGGTCCTGTTTCACCCATGCATACATTCTCTTCACCTTCGTTGTTTTTTTATGGGTAGGGAGAAGGTAGAAAAACAAAAAAGGATGAGCCTTTCAAAAAAGAGAAAAAGATGAGCTTTTAAGACAAAGAAATCTTTGTGGAAGTGCTGTGAAAATTATTTTTGTTAGCCTCAATTTTCTGAGACACCAGTGAAAAACAGAGTGAGGGAAGAATGAGGGAAAACTTTTCTGGTATAATTTATTCCAACACGTGTCCTGCTTCTGGCAGGGCTCTGTCCTGAATTTTATCTTAGCTGTTTCTGTACAAACCAGCCTGYCTTCCAGATGTTTAGTCCAGTGTTCTCTGTTTGCTAAAGACAGGGACAACTGGATACACCTCGCTTTTAAAATTTCTTTTTAATGTTAAAAAAAAAAAAGAGATTATAAAAATATCAGCACTTAGAATTGAAACCGAGGAAGAGTCTGAAAATGCATGAAGTGATAAATGAACTGGAGAGGCGTGGAAGAAGCATCTAGTCAAGCCTGATGTGGCAGGGCAGTCTCAACTCAACCCAAACTATCTCTGACAGATGTTCCTCTAACCTCCTTGGAAAGGGCACTTTGTAAATGTGTGTGTAAATGTGTGTATTCATGCATGCAGTTTGGACAAGAGTGTGTGTGCCAGGCTTTGCAAATCAATGGACTTCCTCTGAATTTAACTCTGTGATGCTAATCAGAATACAGGCTTAAAATTAAATTCTCAGTGYACATCATGAGTACACAACTCACTGATGCACCCCTGGGAGGGATCAGTCACTGTTTCTGATCAGATCTTGGATCCACCATATGCCATCTCAAGGGCAAGTCCAAATCCAGCCCCCAGCCATCTCATCCTTTAAAAGCCATCCTCTGCCATATCCTAGTCACCCACAGGATCATGTTTTTCCATACTACTTGGCCTAAAGGAAAAAAGGTCCTTGGCTACACTAAAGGAACCAGTTCTCCATGCACTAGAGCAGTCAGCACAAACAGGGTAGAGGTTGAACACTCAAAACCACTGGATAACATTTTCCCAACCTTGGAGGTGAAAGTGTGAGTAGTGTCAGACCATTTCTGAAGTGAGGTGAGTGGTGTTCTGAGGAAAGGAGCAGTAGTTGGCTGAACCAACTTTTTTTTGCAGTATTATTTTTTTTGCAGTAGTATTTTTGCAGCAAGCACTTGAAAAAAGCAGTCATGATGATACCAAACTTTGCTTTGTCTCCCAGAACCTGATTGAAGCCATTCAAAATGGAGTATACCCTGTTGGAAATGAGTCACAGTTTGAAGAGAGCAATTGGGATTTCAGTAACTCCTTCTTCTTTGCAGGCACAGTTGTCTCCACAATAGGTAGGTCTAATGCTTTCCATTTATTTGTGCTTGTGTGTGATGATGCTTATTATATCTGGTTATTAGGACATGAATGGATAATACTTTTCAGGATMAAAATTCCAGCCCTTCATTGTCATGGAGGGCAAGCAGCCATGGATGTGGTCCTAAGACCTTATCACTGCACAGCTCTTCATGCATTATTTTGGCTTGTCAAGTAGCAGTGGCCTTTCCTRTTATTTCCCACTTGTTCTTTCTTTTCAAATCATCTGTTAACATGTTCACTCTGCTGATATTTGTGGGTGGGAGATAAACACCAGGAAAGCGAAGTTTATTCCAGGCTTTAAATCTGAGAGTGTTGTAAAGCATAAAAAATGCAAGGAAAGAAGTGAATTCTGCTGGGACCTGGGCACTGTCTCCTTAACCTGTCTTGTCTTGCTGTTTCACACGAAATGGAAGCATCCCTGCCAAACTTAAGCATAAAATCCATACTCTTGACACCTGCTTCACAGTCATGCAGTGGAAGTCAAACCTATGGTTTTTCAGAGTGAAGCTGAAGTCTCCCTCTACACCCTAAGCACATCTACTCCACTGATGTATGAGTGTGACATGTCCCAAGGCCCCCAGTAGTGTCCCAGCATCATGGGAGGTGTGTAAGTGTTGCATGAGCCCACAGGGAGATCTCCTGCTGTAGAAGGGCAGGGTTCTGACCCATCAATGACAAGTATTCATGGTTACAACATTCATTAGCAAATCCACTGCTTACCACTGCCTGTATTATCATAAATGCTCATTACAGCTTTCCCTGCCTCCCTTCTTCTGCCCTCGGCTTTATATACTGAGCATCACACAAGATAGTCTGGAATAWTCCTTGGATCAGTYGGGRTCAGYTGTTYCAGCTGTATCCTCTCCCAGCTCCTTGTGCACCCCCATCCTCCTCWCTGCTGGGGTGGGGTGTGGAGCAGAAAAGGCTTTGGCTCTGTGCAAACTCTGCAAAGCAGCAAGGAAAACATCTCTGAATTAGCAACACTGTTTACAGCAGAATCCAAGTCACAGCCCCATACCAGCTAATATGAAATATTTAACTCTGTCCTGCCAAAACCAGCAGAGGAACACAGGCTGTCCCAGAAAATGTACAAATTTGTCTGTGTTTCTGCTCCTTTTTAAGGAAGGTCTGTTATAAAGGTACATCAGGTACTTCCACTCCTCTTCACCAGCTTTTTTTTTGCATAATTTTTTTTAATATTTCTGCATCAGGGAGCACAAGACAGCTCATGCATTTGTGGATCTAGTAGCCAAAAAAATCACTCAGTTGTTTTATTTGTCTTTTACCCCAAAGCAAATGTTGCATTTTCCAAGTAACGGATGCCTTGAGATGAACTGTGCTTGGGAAATGCCTTTTTCCAGGGTCATTGATAGAGTGAGGACATACACAAAGTTCAGTGCTCTTGCACTCAGGGATGTACCTCATAGGGTCCAGGAGTCTTGAGGCTAAAGGGCATGTTTGGAGTTGTTCCAATACTTAGATAAATCCTTTCCTGGTGGGATTTAATTCTCTCTGGCATGAATAAATCAGCCATCAGCGAGGTCTGGACTAATTAACACCATCTATTCTAATGMACACTGCACTGCCTTGGGACATACCAGTTTATTGGGATTTAGCCAGGGAGGTCACTAACACACAGGCAGATCACCAAGAAGCTAGAGATGGCTGCATGTGGTTCTAACTGGGACTCCAGCCCTGATGTCTTCCAGATCCTCAGACTTCTATTTTCTGACTTGCCATAATTTGTCACTGCACAGAGCATGTTTCCCATAATTGCTTCTAGATTGTATTTTTGTTCCCACTGAGGCTGTGTTGGGAACACACAGTGCTCCCTGCGTTCCCCCAAACATGCAGGGTGAAATAGTTCATCTGCTYACTGCCTTTTTCAGAGGAAAAAAAAGAGTGCATTTGGGATGAGAAGCTTTAGCAACATCTTTTAGGATCAAAGGCAGGCTGGATTGGTGTAGGGGTGAATGTGACTGTGGATTGCTCCAGTTCTCTGGAATATCTCCTCTGACCCATCTTTTTTTTGTAGGCTATGGCACATTACATCCCAGAACTGCTGGGGGGCAGATCTTCTGTGTGTTTTTTGCTCTTTTTGGAATCCCTCTGAACATTGTTTTTCTGCACCGAGTYGGTAAGATGCTCTCACTGCTCTGTAAAAAGCTGGGAAAATTCCTGTACGAGAAAGGAATGAGRAAGGTAATTGGTTTTACTTACTCAGGCACACTTATATGCTCATTTCTRTTATTTTTCTCAAGTTTTATGCTGYYTTATTTTCAATTATATTTATTCTTGTGCTGTGTTAGATGTTGTGCCAGGCAAGGAAAGARACATTCCTCACTTGCAGAGCTAAGCAGGTGTCAGCCATAGAGGAGATWTTCAGAGAAAGGGATGCATTTTGTCTTCCCATCGAGATGGCAGACACCCAGCCCCCTTCAGTCATCAGTGGAGAGTGGGCATCCAACCCCACTTCTTGAGACACTTATCTCAGGAGCTAACACTCTAGGGAAGTGCATGCATCCCTTTAAAACCAGTGAGGGTGATTAAGCAACTCATCTTGAGGCAGGAAAACGCAGGTGGAGCTGTGAAAAACTGTAAAAATTAGGTGAGGTGTAGAGGTTTCAGTGGATATTGACTCAATGTATAGTGTGTTACCCCTCCTAACTGATTACCCAGTCCTTCAGTCCCTCTCCACCCTTAACTCTGRCAGGAAGAAAGCATCAGGCTGAAGTTGTCCATTTGAGCCAGATAAGCCAGACTCAGGCATGTACAAGATGCATGAAAAGTTATCCAACAGTTGCCACTGATTCCCAGGCAATCTGGATTTAGAAAATTCTATTCATAGAAACTATGTGTGTCTGGGTGATAAATCTTTACWTATAACAAGTCTTTTTCTCCAGTCAAAGCTTCTTCATGGGAAATAGAATGGTTCAAAAGTCASTGTCCAGGCTCTYCTTTATCAGGAGCTCATTAGTTAAAATTCTTGTAGTAAGATATGTGCTGGGTAGGAGCCAAGTTGTGGCATTGAWGCATTGAGAAATAAAGTCAATAATCAAGACTCTTAAAGATAGTACTGTCAGAAATGGTGCCATTATTCCTTTTATAAAAAAAAAAAAAAGACTGCTTTCCCAGGCAAATTTGAATGTTCTTTAGGTGCCAACCCCAAATACCTAAAAATTAAAAATGAGGTTGTCTTGTGATAAATGGAAATGGTTTGACTCTGGTAAATGTCTTTAGATAGGAATWCCTTCTGTAGTCGTGGTCATTGATACAATCAGATAAAACACYACATCTTCCAGGGTTACTGTGGGCATGGCAACACCCATAATACCTGGCTTCCCCCTGCTGTCAGAGGTATTTCCAGAGGAAAAGCACTCAGTAGAAATCCTGCAATCCCTCTGGTCCTAGATAGCCACCCACTTTGAATTATCACCATTATGTGTATCTTATTTATGTGTCAAATCATGATGCTAATGAAACTGTTTTGTTTTTTCAGAAGAAGATCAAATTTCTGACCCTTTTGTTCTTCCTGGCAACGGGGATCCTAGTTTTTCTGTGCTTGCCATCAGTTTTCTTCCAGATAACAGAGGGCTGGTCCTACAGYGAAGGAATTTACTTTGCCTTTATCACCCTCAGCACCATTGGCTTTGGAGATTATGTAGTAGGTAAGGGTGATTCCAGAGAGGAAATATGTCAAAACACCTGGGTAATGACTGTAATTCCCATGGGCTGACTGAATGCATGGTAGAGACAAATCTGTCAGAGTCTTTGACTTGTTTTTGCCTTGTATAGCTCTGGGGAGAAATACTTGTTTCTCTGGGACTGAATGTGCTGATAAAAGCATTCACAAAATTGTCTAAATWTAATGAAATGGGGTAATTTGGGGTGCAAAGAAGACATTTTGGTGAGGRAAGGRAAAGTGYAGGGGGAGAATTCAATGATCCTGGGACAAGGCTTGTATCACTGCTTTAGCCATCTGAGACTTGTGTTTCACAGTGTAGAGYRAAGAAATAAATRATCATRTTTCAGAATATATGACTTCACACARCAGACTGAGAGRTGGAAATCCCTGTCACAGGRAGGTGGGGAAATCTACTCACACTTTCAGAAGTGGGGCCTAAATATATACATTGCTGCARAAGTGGCCTCCTTTAGTCCCCTGAGCATCTCTGGAGGTTTTCTATCTTCACAAGCCAGAGCTTAGGATTTCCCCAGAAACACTGTTTAAGCTGCACTCAAGCATGCTGGAATGCTTCTTGAAAACATTTCTTTGCATCTGCTGGACAAAACACACTCTCTGTGGAGTAAGTTTCCAGAGGAACTCCAAAATGATCACCAGGAGCTGAATCAGTGTCCACAGAAGAAGCAAGAAAACACCTGGACTCCATGGAGAATCCAAGATTTCTCTACAACAACCTGTCCAGCATAAGGCTGATGACTTTGGCAGAGGGAGCCCACAGACATTTCCAGACACTGATGYGTCACTGCTGACCATAATTTCTCTAAATCTACTCCTTCAAATATATAAACTGTGCTATATGGAAAGGTGGAGAGTAGCTGGTGCCATGCAGGAGAAAAACTGAGCATCAAAATGGTGCATCCTCTTTCCTTKTCCAAATCACAGATGTGTTCCAATAATGAGACCAAGTCACAGCCTGAAAACCATGACCTTCACAGCACTTTCCTCCTCTGCAGACATATTGCTTTACTAATACAATCAATTGTATTTYAACTTCTTAATTGTTATTTAAAAATAACAGTTAGATAGGCCTCGTGGCTCTGATTTCATTAGGATGATTTAACTGGAGCTGAAATATTTTTCCATGTCAGTATTTATCTTAATTTGCCTTAACAACAATAATAAAATGTTGATAAGTTTAATGCTTCACATCTTCACGATGAAGCGAGCAGAATCAATGACTGCTCTGAGAATTATTTACTGAGAATTGCTTACAGATGACAAATGGTTTTGCACTGGCCACGTGGAATAAAACAGGTTTGAGCTGATTTGCATTTTAGTAATTCAGAACTGGTTTGTAGCTGAGCCTGTTTAGGGTAGGGAGAGATGCTAGGAAGATGTGACAGCCTGGATTTAACTGTTGGGAATGCAGGTGCCTACAGGTGATTCCTCTAGGGTGACACTCCCYGTGGTTTGTTAACTGTGTATTCCCTGCTCAAGTCCAATTTTGGGTTAACATTACAAAGGTTATGGTTATACAAAGGTTATACAAAGCACAAGGAAATGCTTTCTACCCAGGCTGAAAATGCCTTTGCCAACTCAAGTCCAGCAGAAGAAAAAGAAACACCTGTTGGGTATCTTTCCATGAGGACAAACCTGCTCGCTGCTGCCTCATTTCCAGAGGTTTTGGATAAACAAAAAACAAAAATCTTGCACATTCATCTATGCAGTACCAGTCACTKCAGGACTTGAAAAGAGTTGCCAGCACTCCAGCTCTTTCTAGGCAGGTTCACAAAGGGAAATGATCCACGAGGTTYATGGTGATCTCCCTGTCCATGCACATTGCTGTGTTATCAGCTTGGCTCTGACTTAGAGCACTCCAACATCACCAAGTGCACCTGCAATGCCAGGGCCACATCATCTGTATCATGATGACAATGTTGTGTGGGGCCAAGTTCACTGCTCTCTGGGGGGGTGGGTTGCTGACATCTGAAGGATCAAACAAAATGACCCTGCAGAGCAGTGGGTGTGAGATCCTGSCTGATGCTAAGGGGATCAGACTGCATGAAATAAGCTTGGGTCCACTGGTTTCCAGCACAGAAAGTTCTGTTCTTGGCATGTGTCAGTGAATTATCATCAGGCACATGGTTTTTATAATGGAGGAAGATCCTGGAGCCATTCAAAAGTGAGGTAGGAATTGCAACAGCTCTCTTTTTGTGGTAGCTGTAATTTAAAGGAAATAATTATGATGTTATAATAACACTCTAGAAATACCGGGAATTAAAATAACCCAGATAATAATAGTTGTGTGGTTATTGTGGCCCACTGTGCTCTGCTTTTTGTGCTTTGGGATTTTGGGAATAATTCCAAGATAATACAATACAATTTAACACTACTTCCCACGTCATTTCATTTACCTGTACGTGCAGCAGTTGAACTGGGATTGATATGCACTAAGGGGAAAAAATATCCTGCTCTGATGGTAATTCACCTCAATCACAGAATCATAGAATCACAGAATCATAKAATCACAGAGTGATTCACTTCCATCCCAGTGTGTCATTTGATAGACCAGCATATTTGCATTGTGCTTATTGCATATTTCAGTTTATTGCAACAATGAGAGAATTGCCCAGCCTTAACCCAATGATGTGGAACTGAGAATCTCCACTACAGTGAAAAAGTCACCTTGAAGTACTGAATATAAAACAYTGAATGATGAATTCATAGGCTGTTYCACTTAACACTTGCACAGTTCCACTTAACACTTGCACAGCAATTTTAACTTGTTAATTTTCTTCTTCTTTGTCTCCCCTTATCTTCAGGCAAACAGTCTGACAGGAAATACTTTTCCTACTATCGAGTGCTTGTGGCCATTTGGATTCTTTTTGGCCTTGCCTGGATAGCTCTGCTSTTTAATTTATTGACAACGGTACTAGAAGACACTGAAAAAATAATTGTCAAGGATCTCCAGCAAATTGGAAAGGTGAGTAAGGACAGTGTAGGAAGCCAGCAAAGAAGATGCTGGCCKGTTCAATTTATTCCAGAAGAAGACCTGCTATCACCACGTGCTGGAGGGGATGCACAGAAAATGGAGCCATTAACAGCAGATTCTGAACACACAAAAAATGAAACAAAAGTGTTTTATAATAGCAAAACTAGTGCCATAACMTGTGAGAATTGAATTCTTCATTGGAGAATTGCTAGTTAATTATTCYAAAGAAAATCCCATAGAAATAAAATTTCTCCTAGCTTTTGCTGAGATATGACCTTTTAGAACTCAGTACTTAMAGTTACACAAAGCCTGAATATTAATGGTAAGAAATTTGCTCCTCAGTTTGCAGCTAGRTTGTGCTAACAGCCTGAGAAGTGCACTTGCTTTGCAAGGTGTTTTTAAGGTGCTTTCACATAAAATGCAGAGGAAGGGCATGGAAGAGCTTGCTGGTTCTGTTTGGATTTTGCAGCTTGCAAGAAATCATGTCTCTTCTAGGAACTGACATGCACAAGCTTTTCTGAGGCATTGCATAGCATCTTTGGAAGAAGAAATAAGGGTATATAATTTGATAGATGCCTGACTTGAGCCATCATATCAGATAAGGTGTTRTGGTCTGAAAGACATGTTTAAATGATAAGAGCTGAGCTCAGTTCAGAGAYACTAGAAGCATCTAATGGACAGGGTTATGAAAAGGTTAGCATGTTAGAAATTATTAATTCTACCTCTTCCTGTTTTATACTAAGATGAATAAAGGCAATTTCAGCTTTTATCCCCATGGCTCTGGAAAACCTTTCTGATGGTGTTTATAAAGAACACAAAACCCCATGTCTTTAATTCAATTTTTAGAATAATTTTATTCTGAAAGCTTTTCATAAGAACAGAGAATTTGAAGGGAGGAGTCCTTGCTGCTGTGTTTGGATTCTATAGGAACTGTGAAGCCATTTGGCAATGATTCTGTGCTGCTGTGGCTTTCCAAGGGTGAGCAGTGTCTAAACCTTCAGCCAGGTTAAAATAAAGGGTGTCAAATCTGGGCATGGTTTTTCAGAYGTGCTGTCTGGTTTGCAGGCCATCTGTGGGTGAAGACTCTGACCTTTTGAGGATTGATCCCTGTGTCACAGACCTTCTGTGTGCCAAAAGTGCATGAAAACCCAACCCTGAGAGCTGGCAAAGCAGCTGGGGCAGACACAGACACAGAGGTCAAACATCCCACGTGTGTGTATGGTCACACCAAAAGTCAGTCCAGTCCAACACCATCTCTGCCCATGCCTGATGTGTCCCCCAGCAGTGCAAGGATCAGACAGCTCTGCCATTCCCTGGCACAGGGTTCAGCCCCTCTTCCAGCAGATGGTGGCACAAGGCTGCCCAAACAGGACGTGTGGTCTGAACATCAAAATCCACGAGCTTCCCAAATGCTGAACTCCCACCAGCCCTCCCCAGGCACTCCATAGCTTCAGTCCACCAAGTCTCTCACTTTGATAATACTGAACTTGTCACCTGACAGGTTTTTGTGAGCCCCTCAAGCTCCTGTTTTGTCAGACTGAATAATTATTTTATGCTCACCCTCCGGGTGTTAGTTACAGCATGACCAGCCCATGCCAGAGTTATTCCTGTATGAAAGGGAGAATAAATTACAGCTATAAAGCAATTTCAGGTCATAAAGATGCAATCAGCCTTGAAGKTGGATTCATAACTATTTCAGTCAAACAGAACCATGCTTGTTGCCAAAGCAATCCTGCTGGTTCAAGACCTGGCATGTAGACCTGACCAAATACGTATTTTTCTCCCTCCACAAATTATTTTCCAGTCTTACCTTCAAGGCTGACTTCTCACCTCATTTGTCTCA